AAAAAAAAAAAAAAAGAAATATTCGTAATCAAGAACTTAAGCCGCGACTTCAGCGCTAGCGCAGGAACAGGAACTACAGCTGTCCGTGACTAAACCTGAGTCGAAAACAGTGCTGCTGCTGCTACCTAAGTTGCCTTGGGTGACCTTAAGCTTCGACCTGGGCTTTCCCATTTGAAAAGAGAAGGACTGAGAGGCAGTTGTAGAGGAATTACGCCCTGGCAAGAAAAAAAACGCATAATTATCCAAGATTGGTAGTAATTGGCAGACGTCAAATGATCACAAAAAAGCAAAAAGAAATCAAATTAGAGGAAAGATTAGGCCGTGTCAGTGTAAAATTTCATCAGACAGGTACAAAAATGAGAAAAAAAAAGAGCTGGTAGAGCTCCAAAATGACACCGACTGTCCAGTGGACCGACCAGTGGGAGACTGATACATTATAGAGCCCTTCCTCGGGAACAAATCTGAACAAGCGAAGCGGGACACATGCATTCGAGTTTAGATTCATGAGGAAAGCTTAAACGAAGAGATGGAACTAATCGAAACACTAAACCTAGGATCATGCCGTGCTTGGTCTCGGACGACGCATTGCGATTACATGCTTCACTACTTCTTGCTGGCGCATACACATATAATCAGCAGTGACTAAATTATAAGCATGAAATGAGGGCACTGGCCAGCGAAACACTGGTGCACACACGCACACACATACGCACAAACAAACACACAGACCTACTAAACACAACAGAGACTCACGACAAAGTAACGCTGAGCATCATTACAGCAATGTTGTGGACAGTTAATTAAGCCGCCAGCATTAGTTGCTCGACAGTTCCTGATTCGCCAAAGGCAAAAACAGCGAGACTTTTAATGAAAATCTACAATTACTTCCACGTTGTATCGAGCCCAAGCAACACGTTTTCTTGAGCACCAGTGGGATGAGGCCGAGACCGGGAAGTCGAACAATGAAGGGACGATAATGCTGAATGCGCATCATTTCGCTCGCAAACAAGTCTTATATCTCGCAGGTGGATCAAGTCAACTGCCCTCCCTTAAAACACCGTAAATCGAGAGTCAAACTATGT